CCAAGTTAACTAGTTGTAGAGCAAGCTTGGGGAAAAGAGATAAAGCGAGGCTTGTCAGGGAGGGGGGAGTATAAGATAAATGATCTGTTTGACATTTATTACAGTATAGTTAAAAGTGATAAGCATAAAGGAGAGTAATATGACACATTTTATAGGAATGCATTCATTTTCAGTCCCAACACCTACAAGTTTAAAGATGGAGGACTGAAAAAGATATTTAAAGAAATGAAATTTGAGTCCACTATAACCGAGTTTCTAAGTTCTAAGCTGTTCACTATAAGCGTTAAAAATAACATTATTTCAATAGGAATACGGACGGGACCGCTAAAAAAGTTCACCACATCCGAGTGTTCACTATATCCCAGGTTCGACTGTATATACAGCGAAACTTCAGTTAAAGGGATACTCCTTGGACCGAAAAAATTCTCCGATTGCAAGTTTGTCCGTTTAAGGGGAAAACACTAACAACGGAATTTAATGCCTTAAATTGTTTTTAGAATAATTGCAATGATATAGAAATATTTAGAACCTTATACTTAGAATCTGACAGAAAAATAAAAATCTAAACTCATACGCAGTAGGTAAAAGAAAATTAAATTATGATTAATAATAAAGATAGATTTGGTTTAAACAAAAATGCTTCAGCATACAGTATTAGAAATTGCAGATAAATCAATAACACAGATAATTTTAACTTACTGACAAAGTCTTCCCCGAACCAGTTTGAGCAACACCCACTAAATCTCTTCCACTTAAAGCAATCGGCCAAACTTGTGACTGGATTGCAGTAGGCTTTTCAAATTTCTGGTCACAAATGGCTTGCATAATATAATCTAAATTGAAATACAAATAAACACATGTAAATAATCTTAAAACTTAACTTTTTTGGTCACAAACTACAAGGTAATGATCAAAGTATTTGAATAAAATATTTCATAACTAAAAAGTCTCTTTTTTTTCCTTTGTATAAGGAGAACACTTTTTTAAATTATTTAGATAGAGTTCAGACTCAATTCCAAGAAGAAAAACTTACTAGCTTTTGAACCAGAGTAATCTAGTAAATAAAAAGAGAGAGAGAGAGAAAGCCAGATTTGTTACTTTCATGGGTGCCACTTTAAAAAAAATGTCATGGCCGAACTTACTTTTTGACTCATTAACACTGTCTAGCATTGCTTGACAGAATTTTCCAAAATGTATTGCACAATGACAGCAAAGAACACCTTTCTGTGAGAATGGCCCATATACTATAACTATATAAATGACTTGCTTATTTTTTTCAGCAAACAAAATGAAAACTACATATTATCTTTTTTAACACCATTTGCTGAATTATTCTTTTTTTCTTGAAGACATTCACATATCTCTACTTCTTTTTCACTTCAGCATTATCAATTTTTAGTCCTAGATCTATAATTTTTTTTTTTTTAATGACCTCAATTTGAGCATTCTACTTTAATTTTCTAAGCATTTCTAAATATCAGGGAGGTGGGAACTCAATCAGATTCAGATTAACACGAGGAAATGTTGAAATTCTATCATTCCAATTTTTATCAATAGTTTGCAATAATTACGAAGAATAATGCAACAAGTAATTATTTTTACAAACTATTGTTACCCCCCCCAGTCCCCAATTTTTTTTTAAATTTATTTTTTTAGCAGTTCAAAAAACAAATTGGAAGGAGTACTTTTAATGTGGAATTTAGTGCATTGATTTTTCTCAAGACTGCCATTTATTGCATTTTAACAAGAAAAAAAAAATTTCTTTGCAAAGTGACATTAAACTATATATATATTTTTTTTTTGACCGAAAATTTTCCTTCGGCGCCCTGGATTTTCCTTAGAACCTCGTTCGCATGAATAAACATACTCTGCTAAATAATATAAGTAATAATAACAAACATTAAAAATAATTTTATTTTATAAGTTGAGATCAAACAATTATTGGCTACCACTTTAGTCTTACTTAATCTAAAAATCTGCCTAAATTGCAGCATAAAATATATAAAAATAATATTTAGATCGATAATTCGTAAAAACTCATAGCTATTACTTGTAATATAATATAACTAGTATAATATAATATAACTATTACTTGTATATATAATATATAAACTTGTATATATAATAATATAACTATTACTTGTAAGAGGACCAATATTTTTAGAATAAATTAATAATTTAACTTTTTACATTTTTTATAATATAAATTATAATAGTAGTATATAATGCAAGTAATATGCATGATTTAGTGTATGATAAAAATGCCCCCAATGTTAATAAGGAACTTAGTGACATGTCAAGTCAAAAACCAGTTTCTTTTACGTCAAAATGCCAGCCCTGTAACTAGAATATGGGCATGAATAAAATATTTTTTCTTCCCATTGTGTAAAGTTTTTTATAAATACATGAACAAAATGTAAAATAATTACCAGACTTTACATGATGAAATAACTAGTTTCAAAGAAAGAACTCTTTCTTGTTTACATTATCCACCATAAAAACAATTTATAAATTTTTTTAAAGATATTCTATATTAAGTGGCTCATTCTCTTTCTAAATTAATAATTGCTTCATTTAATTATGTAAAAATATTTAATTCAAAATTGTAATTAATTAAACTATTATTTATAGTTTTTTTTTTTTGCTTTAAATATAAGTTATTTATAAAAGCATATTCATTAAACAAGATTAATATTATTGATCATGCCGAATTTATATGTAAAAAAATTAAGCAAACTAAGAAAACTCTAATAAATTCATAATAACAATGTAAATTAGTGAATGGAAATTAAAAAAATGTTTATTATCATTTGTTACTTGGTTCAGTATTTCTTTAATAAAATGATGAAAAAAATTTAAATAATTTTAAAACGTTAATACAATGACATATCTGCCAACAAGGGAGAAATAAAATAACGGAGATTTTACTAGCTACATATTTCAGGCTACAGAAACATAATGCACATTCGGGCATTGTGCATCATTCGATACATCATGCAATATCATATAAGTCAACTAGAGAAATTCGAAATAATATAAGCACTTATATTTAGAGAAGTAAAAAATAGGTATATAAATCTTAATGTAAAATAGATTTTTTAAATCATTAGTTATAATTACTTCTATAAACAATCAACATACTACAGTACTGGCAATAGTATCTGTTAAGGAATAAGAAGTAATTTTACAATTCGCCGATGTTTTATCTCAATTTTTTGTTTTTAATTTCTTCAACAAATATGGAGAAATTAAAGGAGATACAGGTAAAAGGAAATAAGATTTAAAATCCAGGTGTTTTTGATAAAATAAAATAAAAAACAGGAGACTTGACAGGTGTGCAATAAGTATTGAAGCTAAACATTTTTGTCGGAAGAAAATTATTACAGGTTCCCTACATTCACAATATTCAATTAATCTGAGATAATTGAATATTATGCATGAATTTTTTATTCTATTGTTTGTAAATAAAACCATTAAGAGATGAACGACAAGTTTGAATTTTTCTTCATAACTAAGCATAAGATTTTTTACCGCATATAAAATATTAAAAGACCTTCACTTCATACGTTTCTGATTCTTGTAAGACAACTTTACTAAAATTTTTAAAAGTTCAATATACAAATATTATATATATATACATTAATATTTTATTATATATATTTAATATACATATAATTAAATATATAGATATTTCAATATACACATTAAATTAAAAATACAGTACACAACAATAACTAAAAAGAAACAAGCAAAAAAAAAGTAATTAAGTACAACAAAAGTTTGCAAAAATTCTATGCAAAATATTACTTAAAATTCTCAATTTTAATGAATAAAAATTAGATGGAAATTTTGAGGCGAGGAAATTAAGTCACCAACATTAAAATTACCAAGAAAAATAAGATTTTCTATCGCTATTAGGGAGGGGGGAATAACAATGTCTAGTTGGTCCCCGTAATCAACGAAAATGGGAGATTTCTCTGTTTCAGACGGAGGAAATGAAGTCGGAAATCGAGAAGCGAGAAAGGATTTTTGCACATGAGGAGCACATGAGGATTTTTGCACATGAGGAGAAAGGATTTTTGCACATTTTTCGAGAAGCGAGAAAGGATTTTTGCATGCACTGCCACTGCATCGGCAGGCATTTCATTAAGTATGTCAAATAAATAGAGGTTTCCTATGCTACAGACCATAATTTATATTTTGGTTAAACATACAGATATGGAAGTTGAAAAATCACGATACAATTTCAGTAAACAAACTTATCTGCATCAGTTTTGTTTGCAACAACTGAAAAAAATAATCCATTTGTTGAAAACCGTTGAACAAAAGCACTGAAAATTTATGAAAAACAGCAGGATACAATATTGATTCCATCTATCAGAGTCAGTCTCCCATGTCTGAGACGATTGAAGTATCTCGATAGTTGAAGTCAATATTATATTCTGCTGACGCCATTTGATATTTGCGATATAATCACAGGAAGGAAATGGTAAAAGCAAGGAAAGAGAAACAAAACATTAGCTTTCGAGGAGATCTGATAATTTTGAGTTTGGCAGTCACTTGAGGTAAAATTCGAAATATTTTCTGATCAATTCGGGTGGACGGGAGAACGCTAAATGCGGTAGAGTTGACACAGCTGTAGTTTAGCATAAACTTAGCAATTTATTTTTATGTGTCATACTAATTTTCCAATTAACACTTTCAGGGAAAAAGTGTAATGTAATAATCAGAAGGGTTCACTTATTACCTTTTTTTAATTGGTAGTTGCATAACAAATAACTAAAGTTAAATATTACCAGGAAAGTTTCCTTCATAAAAGTCAACAATTGGTCTGGGTACATTCTGGCCATAACATGTTATTTGAAGTGATCTTTGCCAGTCATCTACTTCTCTCTAAATATAAAAGCAATTTGGAAAACATTAGTTATTCAATGAATTTAGTGACTGTCTTAAAACAACTACTTCTGCTGAATTCATAACATAAAAATAATAAACCTATGTGCAACAGATGAACTACACTATTGCTAAAAATTCTCACTATTAGTTTAGAATTTTTGGTAACGGTAACAGACCTTTATACAACATTTGTCCAGCAACTATTTTTTTTAAAAAAAATTCTAACAGACTTTAGAGCTTACACCATTGTTATTTAAAATTGTTGAATTTTGAAGGAAATTGGATAAAATTTCCTCACCTAAATTCAACTAAATGTGTATAATAAATTAGTTAATGCTAGAAATTCTGAAAGTTTTGGAAAAAAAAAAATTTTTTTTTAAAAATATAAACTTTAAACCCTAACCTTTCCATGTGAGATAATAATCCTCAAAAAGTCTTTCATTTTCAAGAACACAAAAATTTGTTTTATCGCCTCTACGA